ACTGCTTAGTTTCACATGGGAAAACCATGCAAGTGAGTGTGCTAACACTTAAATAGGATGGGCCCTGTCAGACCAGTGGTCAAGCATGTGCCACAGAGTTCATTAGTGTTAAGATACACTGTTGTCTGTCTTGCTGTGTTTGAAGCACTCTGAACCTAGAGATCTTACATACCTGAGATAAAGCAGGAGGAGGTTGAGCCAAAAAATACAGTGTAAAAGATGTATCTGTAGTGAGAGTGACCTGTGACTGTGAGGCTCAAATGGAACACTTGAGAAAAGAGGGTTTTTGTGTTCCTAGGAGTGGTGAATGCTACATGGAAGTTAATATCAATTTCACATGATATCAGTTCTTTTGTCCACACTGATTGTCTTCATTACTCAGTTGTGCAAATTTAAATCTTAAAAATGTCAGATGAAAGACTCTTGCGTAGTCCCTCTCAATCCACATGTCTTTCCAAGAAAGGGATGGGTCTATCTTGGAGAACTTCCTAAGTTTTTTTATTACTATATGAAATACCTTCACTGTAATATTTATATCCTGGTTGTCTTGCAAGAAATGAAGCATTTCTTACATGGAGCATTTCCTATTCCTTTTCTTTTTTTTTTTTTTCCCCTCTGTCAAATTAGACTGTCATTTATGGCCTGGGCAGAAGATAAATGTTTTCAAAATATGACCTCCTTGTTTAAGCAAAGATTGCTCAAAATGTAGTCAGTAATAATTACTCATTTTTCCTCACAGCTCTCTTGTTATCAGATCACATGGCATCTTCATTATTCTGCGTGCAAAGCAAGCAGTGCACAAGGTCCTTTATAATATTGGGAATTCACTGGCGGGAATGCAAATGAACCCTGAAAACATGCCACATCAAATCCTTGCCTGATGTGATTTTACCAAACTTCACTAAAGCTAAAGGAGATAGAAAGGTTATGCCAAGGTGAGGATCTGGTTACCTGCTTTTTACGGCTACTTTTTCAAGTATATGATGTATACTATTTTTTATTGTCCACAAAAAATAATTAACAAGAACATAATTATCTAATTAGGGTGTTACATTATAGCTAGAGCTGTGCTGGTATTTCCTGCCTAATAATACAATACAGTAAAAATCACTCAGTTGTAACTTAGTGTTTTAGAGAAAAGTAATGGAAATTTTAAATAGTGTGTTTGAATTTGAGTTCTAGAACTAGCTATTCCAAGAAGTAATTTATTAAAGGATTGAGAAATAATTCTTCTAAACTTCATCCTGACATGATAATCTACAAAGTTTGTGTGTAGGTAACTAATTTTACCTATTGCTACCTTTAAATTGGATTTAATTGTTTCTCTTCATTTTCTGCAAGGTTTCTAGGACACAGATCTGCTGCTGTTCTCTTTATTATTAGCTTTTGCAGATCCTCTCATCTAGTCCCTCTCTTCTTAGCCTTCACAGCAGTTGTTTTCAAGTGTTACCTTTTGCTTTGTAATCTGCACTTGTGAAATAACAGCTAGGTATTTGAATATGTCTGCATTGCAAGCGAAAGATTGGTCCATCTGTATTTCATGTATACTAAGTTCCCCTGCCTTTAAACTAGCTGTTTTCAGGGTTGTTATAACAGTTCAGTCCAGGTATATCTCCTTTTTCTTGGGCGGGCTTTCCAGCCAAATAATCCTGGTAGGGCTAGTGTGTGCCTGGTACTTCTTGCAAAGACTTTCACTAGGACTCGCTTACCATGTTTAGCAACTTCTGCTAGATGCGCTGTTGCTTCAACCATTTCTCTCCTGTCTTTCTTCACCCGTCACTGTTCACCTCCTGTTCTGTAATCATTTGTTACGGAAGTTAACTGTTAAGAGGCTTTTGTGTCCCGTGGTTATCCACATGAGCTCCAGTAGTACTGTGCTGGATAAACCTGAGATTAGAATAAAGATTAGAACATACTATTATAATGTACTCTTTAAAACTTTCAGAAATTTTTTTGGACGGGGCGTGGCCAAGGGCAAGGACAGAACAGAGGGGTATAGGTATGACTCAGTAAATCCAGAATTTAGATGCTAGGATAAAGTTAAAAGTAAGCAATCCTGAAAGGTCAGTATTACCTTCTCAGGGATCTGCAGTTCATATAAACTAATGCAGCTCCTTATAGCTAGAAGTAGTTCTTTTAAATTACTCCTAACAAATTACATTGGATAGAGAAAGCACCTTCTCGCCTAAAGCTCAACGTAAGATTGATATAAATAGGGCATAAATAGTAATCATTCCATAGAAACAATTGTTTAATATTTAGGGAGGATAAAACATTACTTAGGGTACAAGACTAAGGAAAACACTAAGTTCTGATCTGTGTTTGGCAAATGGTCCAAGACTTTGATTTGGACTCTTCTTGCAGTCCAGTACTTAGAGAGTTAAGTCTAAATATGAGGAATGTGAGCAGTGTAGGAGGGTGTAGAAGATGTAACTTCTGGCAAGACTGTGTATGGTTTGCAGCTTTGGAAGTGTGATGGATTCACTTTGGCACCACTGCTATAGCAAGGGCATTTGTGAGAAGCACATCAAAGCAGGGACAGATATCTCTAGGCTGTCCGTTACTGCTGCTACCATAGCAGGGATGGTATGCAGATCTGAGAAAGTGGCTGCTAGAGGAATAAGAGAGGAGAAAATGAGGTGCCTCAAGCATCAACATTGCTCACCATGCTTCTGATATTATAACCGAACATAGAATTTTACCAGAAAATGAGGTGACGTGAATGAGAGGGAGAGAGAATGTCTAATTGAAGGATACATGGTATAACAGAGAAGAAATTTCAGAAAACTCATGGAAGTGTCCAAGGTCTTTGAGAGCTGCGAAACAGATCTAGCAGATTCTTCATGTATGTTTCTTCTCTGATTCAGTTTTGGGGTGGAGACCATTTATTCTTGTATCGTTTTGATTGTTTCTTCAGTATTTGCCCTTCTTTCTCATCAGCCTGATAAAATTTTGCTGTAAATTCCAAGATCTTTCTGTGGTCTTTGTACAGTTTTAGTGTCATTTTCATCACTTGGCTAGAATGGATTTCTACATGGACATTTCTGCCGTTTGCCTCTTCATGCTGAACACATTCAAAGTAGATGACATTTTCTTCAGTACCTTAGACCAACCTGCTGATCGGCCTGTCTTTGCAACATCCCTGGACAACCTGGACTCCCCTGTGTTTTTGCATGGGTGTCTACATTCCTGCCTAAATTCTTGAAGATGGGGGAGAACGTTATCTTCTTGGTAATATGAGAACATGCACTGCTGTTTGTAATTCTTGCAGGAGTCAAAGCTCACAAGTGATGTAAAACCAGTGGTTTCTCTTGCTGACACATTCTCAAGTACTTCCTAGACAAATGTGCAAATTGCCTGTGATTAGAAGAATTTTAGATTCATGTAACAGAGGTATTTTTCTCTATTTGACAATAAACTAGATCAGTAGGGGGACCAGAATAACTACAGCAATTCAAAACTCTGTTTTAACGTGAAATAGTCCTCTACATCCCATTCCATGAGACAGAGGAAAAAATGTACTATGAGATCTTGTAGCTCTGGGAAACTGGTAAGCATGTTGGAAAGGGAATAGGTACTAGTGAATACCCTCTATTTAGAAATATAAAGAAGTAAATGGATTAAAAAATGGTAGAACGTGCGGTTAATTTACAGTGCAGTCTAGAGCATGGGTTTGGGGGCTCTAATTTATTGAATGTTTATGGTTCACTCACCAGTAAAGATTTCAGTGAATTCTTCTCTATTTTATGCCCCATTTAGTATTTTAGTCTGCATCATTTCTCTTCCTCTCTGCCACAACATGGGAGACTATCATTGCTTCTGTTTGCCTTCCTTGCTTCTTACTCTTACCCTTTTTTCAGGTCTTTCTTTTCTTTCCTTTTAAGATTGTTTCACACATCTTCTGCCATTTACCTCCTGTGTTTCCACCATGGCTCCCAACAGAAGGGACCACTTGTGCTTTCCTTGCTGTTACACTTGGCCATATCACACCCTTCTGAAAACGGTGTCATTGATGTAACGGTGTCGTTGATGTGATGCCTTCAATAATCTCAAAATTCCACTCAGTTTGTGGAGCCATGAGAAAGAAGTTTTTTGTGAGATACAGCCTGACCAGTGCTTGTGACCAAAGGCCATTTCTTAATTGATTTTGCTAAAAAAGGTGGGAATAAAAAAAGGACATACCCTGTGGTTCAGCATAAAATCCAAGCTTTACAAAATGTATAAATGTCCCAGGAAACAGTTTCTCTTCGAGAGGGTTTTCTGAATAATGGTAAAAGATTTCTTGTTTTGACTTAGTTCTACTGAAACTTACTCATCTTTGCTCATAACTAAAGGTTAATTGCAGAAATTGTTGTCTTGTGTTTTCCAGTGCAGAAATGTATTTTTAGAAACTATGAGATAGTGGCAAGTCTTTTGCGTTTTCCGCGTAATCTTCTTTCCAGATACCATAGAAGCTTTTTCCACTGCTACTATCTACTCATCGTTTTCTCTCTCCTTTCTGACTGCTTTAAAACCCAGTGAAGTATTGTCCCAGGTCAACCTCCTCCTTTTTTCCTTCTTTTCTTTCAACTTTCTGCTCTTCTTCCTTTTTCATCCAGTTTTCTCTTAATAGGTAATGTCAATTCCTGATTACTCCAGAGGCAGAATAAACCTGTCACTTCCCTAGCACACCTGACTGGGCTCTGGCCTGGCTCTTGTGGCTGTTGGGGATGTGATAGTCTGTTCTGATACAATTTGGATGTTTTTTATTGGAATTAACAATATCGATGCCATATAGTTTGAGAAGCCCTGTACAGCAAAAATAGTTCACAAGAAGCATATAGGAGAGACTCCAGTCCTGTCTTAACAGCCTGATGTCTGTCATTTTGCTAATTAACTAAAAGCAAATACAATGGCCAAAACACGTGCTAATGGCAGTAAGTAGGTCCACAGATACAACTGAGAGACTAGAATAACCCTTCCTTCCCAAATGTGAGTTGCTTTAGGTAGGCCCAGTGATACTAACAGCTGATCACAGTTTTATTTATTTTTCTTTGACTATTTTAGCCTACCCTTGTTTGGCCATTCCTTTCCACTTTTGTAAAGAACAGTCCCTAAAACTTCACATACAAACCAAGGTCCGGATCTCCTTTTCTTCACGTTCTATTAATGGGGTTGTGGTGCGTATTAAAGTGGGGGGAAGCAGCTTGAGTAGATGTAGCAACTCAAGAACTGGGTTTGTGTCACTGTGACCAGCTGAACATGTGCCTTCTGGCTGTCTGCGTGCCAGCCAGTCCCTGTGGCTGCATTATTATTTATTGCTATCAAGCCGAGTAACCGATACCAATGTGGAAAAGAGGGGAAGGAAGCTGCAAGTATGCTGTGTTTGCACAGTGGAAAGGGAGTAAAATTTATTTGCCCAAGGTAGCTGACGAAGTTTATTAGCTGACAAATTTGGTTTGGAGCCTCAGCTCTGTGCTGGCCGGCGCCGGGCCATGGTTCGTTGCATGCCTTTCTTTGATCGCCTCAACTTGCTGTGCGATTCTTCTCTCTCTCTTTTCCCTCCCTCCTCTCCGCAGATCGTTCTGTGTTTCTCGCCTGCCGGTGCCACGCTGTGAGCGTGAGCTCGGAAGTTCCCAGCCATAGTTAACTGCACCGCTATTGACCGGTTTCATGAGTGGCCGCGGGAGGCCCTGCGCTCCATCAGCAGGAGGTTCATTGAGCAAGCCGAGGGGGTCGAGGTACAGAGTTTCAAGCTCATCAGTCTTCTAAGAAAGCAACGGAGATCATTGAAAGATCGATAACTGAATAAGCTGAAAAAAACAATGCTCTTTTTACTCCTTCTTTGCATACTTCTTGCCTTCAGTGTTGTTCAAGCTCACCCCTGCTAAAAGCTGAATTTTTATGGCGTGT